ACCAAGAGCTTGTAACACTCCAAAGAGAAAGGAAAAATTGAAATCGCATCATATGACCCCTTTAAAACCAAGCTACACTTTATTTTGATAGTCCATTTTAGACATTCTACTAACTATATGCAACTTTGCAACTACATGTCTTCTAACTAACTCTCATTAGAGTACTCTTATGTTAGGGATAGGGGTAGTAGATAAGTAGAATAAGTTGACATGTACTTGCAAAGTTACTTATAGTCAAATGCCATAATGTCAGTTGAAAACATTGCAACTGTGTTTTAAAATACAACAACGAGCACCACGAAACCATTTAAAGAGGCGCGTTCAGCGATCTCCGTGACCGGATAGGAAACAGTCAACAAAGTAAAATGATCTCAAACGAGCTCTCTTCATTTTATCAACTTTTCATAATAACATCTATTCATTTTACAATCCTGCTACTAGCATTTTATTCAGACTAAATCCCCTTTAAATCGGGTGAGAAAGCGGTTTTGTTTTTTTGAGGCTAACTTTTGCACATCCTGTCATGCCGGGCTGCATAGACGCATTTTGTAGCATTCAGGTTAACGATTAATCGATTAATTGATCGTTAATTTAAACGACGATCGATCATGGAAATTATCGAAAATTGACATCCCTAGACAAGACAGTACAAGAGTAGACACTTAAGTTTTCCTAATTCGGTTTAGAAAACACAAAATACAATACAAAATAGAAATATAGGAAACTGTATTTCCCGTAGCCTACATCGTGAGAAATCTAACTTAAGAGAGGCTTATAAACAGGAACTTACCCAAAAGGCATCGCAGAACAGAAAAGCCATCTTCTTTACTACGTAATTATTACTCAGAAGTGTCTCTGTAACACCTACAACCCCCGCTGAGACAGTCTACATTAAAGTTGCTGTCAAGGGTAAAGAAAGACAAGCTACACTGTGAGGTAACAGTCAAATGAAGTGTTTGAACTAAGGAAGAAACTGCGTAGTGGTCAACTTTGATCTCTTGACGTCTTCATATGCTCTTTAAAAAGAGGAAGAGTAATGCTGCATATGTCAGTGTCAGCCCGCAGTTTCTACAGGGAAATTTGCTAGACAACGCTAAACGAACTATAAGATTAACGTGGAGCAAACTGTTTACAATTTTATTGTAACACTGCACCATTGTGGAAAAGGGATTTCTGTGGATATTAAACTTATATTTTAGGGCAATAAGGAACATATCAAAATATACCCTGCTGAAAAAAAAACATAGAATCACAGATTTTGTAATGGTTTTACTGGTTATAATGGGGCTTCTATTGGTTTTTAATGTAGGGTGACCAGACGTCCCCGTTCCCTCTCGAGCTTTCACGAGACATCACGGAGACATTTCTCCGTGATGTCTCGTTCCCGCTGTCAGGGAACCGAGGTTAAGATAGTAACCGGAGACGTTTTCCAGCCCGTTCAAAACAACGATTACTTTCACCAGCAGAGGGCGCTGCGAGCTATACTGATTACTAGTCGCGCGCCGCTACTGTAGACATATAGAACTTGGACGAGAACAGAGAGCAGAGAACATATTTATCATATGTTCTCATTTTTATTGTTTTTATTTTTAATGTGTTTTTGTAAAATCATAATTTTGTTAAAATCATATTTTGATCTGTTTACTATTTGCAATGTTTACTTTTCATGCACTCTAAAAACACTGGGTTAAAAACAACTCAATTTGGGTTATTTTTAACCCAAGGCCTGGGTAAATATAGGACAGAACACATTTTGGGTTAATTTTACCCATCAAACTGGGTTGTTTATTTAACCCAGCTAATGGGTGGGTTCATTTTCAACCATTCAGCCACGTTGTATCAACGTTGTTTCAACGTTGAAACAACAACTGACATTATTTCAACCGGCTGTATATCAACGTTGAAGGTCGGTCATATGCCGGCTGGGACTAGCTTTTTTTTTTTTTCCAATTGCTGGGTTTGTCCCTATTTTACCCAGCACTGGGTTGTATTTAACCCAGCATTTTTTAGAGTGTACATGAACTAATTTACAGATTAACTTAAATCCTCTAAACTTTTTGTAAAATACTCCATACAATCACTGGTTTACATGATTTCACAATTAAAAAACAAAAACATACACAAATATATTGTCCCCGTGTTTTAATTTGTAGATAATCACAAGTGAGATTTCAGTGTTATTTTGACCACTGAACTAGGAATGTCCCCGGTTTTCATTTCAGAAATCTGGTCACCTTCTTTTAATGGAAACTGCAATGGGTCTTCTGGTAATTTGTTGCCTTCTATTGGTGGCTTGTTAAAACAAATCCTAATGGAATATGTCCCAAAACACACTACAGGAAAGCATTTTTAATGGTTAATGGTTGTAATGTTTGTAATGCAGTGATTCTTGAGAAGTGGGACAAAACAAGGTGCAAAATTGAAAAAATAAAACAGACAAATTAAACTACATTTATGTATGTACTGCTACTGAGCTATGCTTTGATTAAATCTCCCAACTTTTCTCTTTTTTATCAAAATGTGCTTTTTTACCTTGGACTGTGAAATATAATTTCAGCTTTATCTTTAACAGCAATCAAGATGTTTTTAACATTTCAAAACACATTCTCATGTTAGCAGACAGATTACACTTTCACATGTGACCAACAATTCAACAACAAATATAAAATGTCATAATGAAATATTATCAAAATATTCAACTGACGGAGTTGACACATCTGACGGTGGTGACGAAAACCTGAATTTGTAGTCATTTTAACTGTCAAATACATTGAATCAATCAATTACTGTATTAAAACAAACACAACAAACAGTGAGTATGTTATTGTTCATAAAGCTTTTATTCAAGAGTCACATTTAAGTATTTTGATATATCATTGGAACACAAAATCTTATGGTGATGACATCTGACGGTGTTGGCAAATATGGCATTTCTATCACAAAACAAATGGAGTTCATGTAGTAGCCATTTTGTTCTTTTTCTGTTGATGCTAGATGCTAATGGAACCTGCTTCAGGAGAATAAAATGATCTAAATATTTCAAATAATTTCCTCGGAAATTGGAAGATGGTGTTGACATATCATGGTTGTGACACAGGAAATATTAACATTAGGATTTAAAATATTCTAAAACCATAAAACTTAGCAGAGCCTGTCTGACACTGCTGTACTCTGCAGATGTGGAATGTGGCAAGGGGGTCATTTAGAGTGACAGCTGCCCCTGATATAACCTGATTTTATTACATTTTAATAAATGTCTGACGGTGTTGACAAAAAGTGGGTACACAACTTTGAAACCTTATGAAACATGCACGTGTCACTGAAAAACAACCTTGCTTAGATATGAGATATTATTAAGTGTTGCTTTTGATAAAACAAGCTCTTTTTCATTATTAAAATATATATTTTTTTTTATCCATGTTATAGCATATGAACGATTGAACCCTTTTCTGTGGACACACTGTTTTAGATGTAGCGAGAAGACAATAGATTTCATAGATTTCACATAATGATCAAATTAAATTGAAGGGGATAATTGTGTTAAATACATTCTATTATTAATCCCCCATAACATTTACAATTAAAAATATTTGTATTTTTAAACCAAATAGCAGTTACAATTGCTGGACATGTTTTGTCCCATGTCTCAAGAATCACTGTAGTAAGTAACTATTATAATTTCTGTGGTTTCTATTGTTCTTTTTCAGCAGGGCAAACAAATGGCTTAATGTTGTGTGTGAAGAAGTGGCAGCTAGTAAACAATTCACCGCCGTATGCCAGTGTAAACAAAAACGCATTATTTTCCGTTATCGCTTCTTTTCTGGCCGATGATTGCTGTAACACAATTCAGCCAAAAGAGGGAGACATAACCCTCCTAATCTGAAAGAGTGTGCTAAGTGTGGAGTATTTCCGCTGCCTCAGATAAAGCTGGGTTATCACACTTGATCTGGCTCAACAAAGAGAAACCGAACAAGTAAGTGTCTGCTTGAGCAAATATCTCACTTTGGGATCAATATACCGTGTGAAAAGCTAAACAGCCTCTTTGCAAAGAGGAGGTCCTAAAAACATGTCCTGCTGTGTGGGTGCACGTCCAACAAGATGTGTGTGAAGGGTGATGATGATAATAATGCAGGTTACGCTTACAGCTTTTTTCAAATAGATTCTGTGAACAAATCAACAAATTTAATAATAGAGATCTAATAGTGAGCAAATAACTTATTAAATATACTAAATAAAATCAAGAAAATTCTAAAATGTAAAAAATGTTTAGGCCTATGTGATAGCCACGTTTAGGGGATGGAAATTATTACCTTGTCGTCTGTGAATAAATTAACAAATCTATAATAGAGATGTAGCCTAATAGTAAGCAATTGATTTATTGATTATACTAAATAATGTCTTAAAGAAAAGTCTGAAGTGCTAAAATGTTGAGGTGGTGGTCAGCATTAGGCAATAGAAAATATAATTAAACCAATTAGAAGTTCATGGTAAGTCCCCACCATGACAGAAAAACAACTAACAGCTTGGTTGAAGTGTGGACCAGTTTGCATAGACGTATTAATGCAGCCTGTTCACTTGCTGACAGATTTGTAGTTTTATTCTCTGCAGCACTGATAATGAGTTAACCTGGCTGGATGATTTTAGATTTTGCGATGGGGGAGGGTAGAAGGAGAGGATAAAATGATAAAACCTATCACACATTTATTTAACTAAACCATCAATGCAACCAGTTCAACATTTCACAATTATCATCCCAAAAAACAAAAAAAAAGGTTTTGTCAGGTAACCAAAAAATGTGCTAGATTTTTTTAAGGGTTAGATCAGGTAAAAAAAAAAAAAATTCAAATGGGCATATAAGACTCTCAGCCAGCCAGCCAGCTTATTGGTAGCTTGTTATGGGCATGCGATATCCTTTGTGTTTGTCCTTGTGTCGAAGAGATTGTGTGTGCAGGCAGTATGCACTTGTGAATTTATTTATATCCATTTATATAGATATGTATTTATGTATTTATAGACATTTAAGAAGTATGCATAACTGCTGTTGAGCTATGTGGTGGTGTACATAATTATTGATTGATGTGATGAACAGTGTGGTGGTGGTTTGTGTGTGTGCATGTATTGATTGTTCTGTTATGCAGTATGATGCTGAGTGTGGCATTGTTGACTGCTTGCGGTCGCCACAGCAGGCAAGAGGATTGTGGTTAGGCTGCAGACAGACTAACGTAGTGTGTGTGTTGAATGTCCCCTCTCTAGTTATGCGCTCCTTGGATGAGGGGAAGACTAAGTACCTTTCTGGTACCATGGACTTCTTGTGTCTTGTTTCACATGTACTGTATGCAGTTATGTTGAAAAGGAGAGAATGTGATATTGAAAATGGTAATTAAAGTAGAAGAACGTGTTCAGTTAGAGCAGTGATCCTCAAATCTGGCTCGCGAGATCCACTTTCCTGCAGAGTTTAGCTCTACCCTAATCAAACACACCTGAGTTTGCTAATCAATGTCTTCAGGATCATTAGAAAAACACAGGTAGGTTTGTTTGATTATAGGGTTGGAGCTAAACTCTGCAGAAAGTGGATCTCGCGAGCAAGATTTGAGGATCACTGAGTTAGAGCATGATGTGAAAATGCATTTGTTACCCTATTTCTACCTTGTCTATCTCTAAAATGACTTTTTGTTCTGTTATGTTGGTGTAACCTAATATAGTCAGGTTGATTTGTTCATAGTTATTAGAATGTATATTTTATTTGCATAAAAAAAATCAGAGACGTGTTATTTTTTATTTTATTCAAAAATTAAGACGTGCATTTTTGGTGGCTTGTCATTTGACTTTTTACAGAGTAATAGTAAGATGTACAATACAAAAAACAAATAAAATAATGAGAAATATTTGTAAAAGTAATCAGTAAATATTATACAGAATATAAAAATACACAATAATATAAGATATTGTTCAAAT